TAGCTAGTACCCCTGTTATAATACAAGATGTATACCTCAGTCGAGGTTTTGGTGTAGACACCACACTGACAGTATCTAGCTAGTACCCCTGTTATAATACAAGATGTATACCTCAGTCAAGGTTTTGGTGTAGACACCACACTGACAGTATCTATAGCTAGTACCCCTGTTATAATACAAGATGTATACCTCAGTCGAGGTTTTGGTGTAGACACCACACTGACAGTATCTAGCTCAGGCTCTGCCCCACTATCACTCAAATCTTCCAACTCATCAATTAAGTCAGCAATGTCGTCAGCATCAGCAGGGTCAGGGTTCGTATCAGGGTCACAGAGTTCATGGTCGGCCTCAGAATCCAGACCCTGTCAAACAAAACATAGCTATGAGGATTTTCTTTTTTTTCATGTCATGCTATTAATGTATAATAAAGTAAATATGTCAAATAAATTTATATTTACATTTCTCTTTTGTACAGTCCCTAGCTAAACCAAGCAAAAATGTTGTTACATTCCAATACCAGCAAGAACCATTCATTACACCTGAACAATTTCAAATCCATAAATGTTTGGGTCTTTCAATCAAACTGTTTGAATAATTGGAAACCAATCACCACGCGACATCAAATTCAAATTGTGACTGAAAATCCTGTATGGTTTCCGATTAAAGTTCACTACATTGATGAAACTAGTAACTATATTAAGAAAATCAATGACTTGGTCTCGAAAAACTGGTGGTTGGTAGTTCCGCCAAGTTAGCTTTACAAGTATTTTGAAATTGAATGAGACCACTAAGAACAATAAAATGAAGAAATGAAGTGCATCATGGAATGTGTTAAACAGAACTGTTAAAAACTGCATTTCAAACCTGAGCTAAACTTATGAGATCATCTATTGTGAACATTAACATTAACGGTACAACAACAGCAGATATAATCAACAGGATGAGTTGCTCATATCTTACTAGAGTATTACCTTCCATACAGACGACAAAGCGACAAACAAGATCCATTCTGTCTTAGAGTTACTTGTCTTAGAGTTACTTCCCTTGTCAAGATATTCATCTAATTTCTTGCACGGTGTGCATCTATTTTATAATTCCTAAATAGCAACCTTAGTCAAGTGTACAATTTTCCCATTTATCATATAAAGGTTCTCATGTAGCCGTGGCCTTGATTTTGATCATATGATCTCAACTTTAATCTGGGTCCAGAGATTGATGTCAGGAATATTTGTGTGAAGTTTCATTAAATCTGGGAGGTGAAAAATGGTAAGGAATCTGAGGAGAGACTTACAGAATTACGTCAATTTACTCCACAGTTGACGGGTGTTTTAAAAGAAAATGTGGATTTGAGACTTAATGTTTATGTTCATCCAAACATTTCATGGAACACATTTCAGATAAATCTGGGACAACCCACTGCCTATACTTACAATTTATTATCAATAGACCAGTCTGTGACAGTCATATACAATGTAACATACAATTTTAATGTCAACATCTTACTGTTTTAACTTGTTCACCCCTATGTAACTTTAATAAACTCTACCATGCATTGATCTGGGTAAGTCCATTATGGTCTATAGTGGTGAAAGGGTTAAGGTTTTTACAGTTTTAAAACCTCGAAACATTTAATGGCCTGCTTAACATTGCAATATTTTCCTTCATCTAGGCTCACAAAAAACATTATGGATGTTTGAATATTTAAAAGTAATACCTTGTGGCCATAAAGTTGACATGAGTCAAGGGTTGGGGGATAGAAGGTAAGAATAAACTGACATGCCAGGCCTTGAGGCCAAATTAGTTTATTGACATGATAAAAGCTTGATGTTGTGAGTTACGACAAACTTTTGTATGTCTAATTTATTTTTACAAATGTTGAGGTTTCCTGTCATACTTACATCCTCTGATGCTTTGAACTTCTTCAGCAATGCAATAAATCTCTGTTTAATGTTTCTCTGTAGCTGTAAGTAGAAAAACAGGAAAACATCACCAAAGGTTAAAGTGACTGTGCCACAAACTGTCGAAAAAACTGTTATTATCATTTATAAGCAACTTCAAATTCTTAAATGCAAACTGCATTAACATCGCAGGAATTCTTATATATATTCTGTTTGTTTTCAAACAAAAATTTCATAATGTCATTAAATGTTGATGTGACAATAACAGTAACTGTCCTACCATTAAAACAACGCAACTCATTTCACTCCATTGACTAAACGATCTGCAGGGGAGATTAATCTTACAATAGTTACTATGATGCTACTGTCTATGTATCTAATTACAAAATAAATTGTTTCACTTGCTTTGCTTGTTAAATTCCTTTTTTTAATTAAACAATCTCGGAAAAATATAAATGTAATAATGAACAGAAATAAGATTTAACTCTGTATTGCGATCCGACCTTAAAGCTGGTTTTTAATTAGCAAAAGGACAATGGTTTCGTAAATTTAAATTTATACAGATAACTGTTCCAGAAATAGATTTGACAACCATATTTTCAAATGATAGGGAGAAATCAATGGACTTAAAGTGTGCTTTGCTGTAGGACATACTTTTCTCTAACACAACTTTCAATACAACCTAGATAGAGAAACCAGACACCTTTCCAGTGTACAGAACTTAATTACACTAGTAATTTTCTTATTAAACCTATGTAATTTTCTCCTTATCTTATTTTTAAAAAGATAACTATAGGTTCTGAACATTTTTAGGGAGTGCATTTGGTATAAAACAGAGGCTTACATAAGATATTCCCCCCCCCCCCACACTTCACCCTGCTTTTGCTCGTGACCTTTAATTTGATCCTTCACTAAAATTGTTACGGGGTCATGAGATATTTTGTAGTCATGCTTTTTACTTTAAAAGTGGTCAAGTGTTATTTTTGACCATGACCTTTGACCAAAATCTAATCAGGTGTAGATAGTGATGGGCTGATAATCTATTAGAATCGAAAATCGATTGGTGTGACCTTTCTGAGTCCGATTATCGATTACAAATTCCATTATCGATATATAAGCGGCTCTTCATTGAAATCAAAGTGTTAATGTTTTCAATGTAAAACATTTATTGAAAGGTAAAAATTCTTATGACTATTATTATATGACTGATAAAACTGTGTACAAGTTGCTTGAAATCCATTCTTTATAAAAGAACGAAACCTAATGTATAGTGAACAACTCTGTCTATTGATATAGCAGTAGTGTTATCACTTTATTTGGGTATTCAGTCCCATAAAATTATTAACCGATTATGCAATCGATCATTGATCGGTTCACTACTTCCGATTACAAACCGATTATTGATTATGATTTTAAACCAATTGCCCAACACTCGGTATAAAACTCAATATTACCATACTATGGTTAAATATGAACTTAATGTGTTCAACGGTTAATCAGATATCTTGTATATAATCTTTATATAATGCAAGGGCAAAGGCACTGAGTAAGCAAGTGCTATAACCCTCACTAAGCAGGGCTTGGGTGATTTATAATTACTCCAAGTAACATTACAGAAAAGCATTAATGTAACAAATATGACAAGCAGTACTAGTGCAGTGCTCCCTGCACAAAATGTTTCTTTTAGATGACACAAACATCAACTTAACGCTATCTGCTTGAAGACGGACTGGATATGGAAGAAACAGACAAAAGACAGAATAACTGAAGGAGGAAGGAGACAAACAAAATGTACCTAAGACACTGAAACAGCACTGTGTAGAGCATCCTGATGCTCATCTGATACTGAAACAGCAGTGTAGAGCATGCTGATGTTCATCTGACACTGAAACAGCACAGTGTAGAGCATGCTGATGCTCATCAGATACTGAAACAGCACAGTGTAGAGCATGCTGATGCTCATCTGACACTGAAACAGCACAGTGTAGAGCATGCTGATGCTCATCAGACACTGAAACAGCACAGTGTAGAGCATGCTGATGCTCATCTGACACTGAAACAGCACAGTGAAGAGCATGCTGATGCTCATCAGACACTGAAACAGCACAGTGTAGAGCATGCTGATGCTCATCTGACACTGAAACAGCACAGTGAAGAGCATGCTGATGCTCATCAGACACTGAAACAGCACAGTGTAGAGCATGCTGATGCTCATCTGACACTGAAACAGCACAGTGAAGAGCATGCTGATGCTCATCTGACACTGAAACAGCACAGTGAAGAGCATGCTGATGCTCATCGGACACTGAAACAGCACAGTGAAGAGCATGCTGATGCTCATCTGACACTGAAACAGCACAGTGAAGAGCATGCTGATGCTCATCTGACACTGAAACAGCACAGTGAAGAGCATGCTGATGCTCATCTGACACTGAAACAGCACAGTGTAGAGCATGCTGATGCTCATCTGACACTGAAACAGCACAGTGTAGAGCATGCTGATGCTCATCTGACACTGAAACAGCACAGTGTAGAGCATGCTGATGCTCATCTGACACTGAAACAGCACAGTGTAGAGCATGCTGATGCTCATCTGACACTGAAACAGCACAGTGTAGAGCATGCTGATGCTCATCTGACACTGAAACAGCACAGTGTAGAGCATGCTGATGCTCATCTGACACTGAAACAGCACAGTGTAGAGCATGCTGATGCTCATCTGACACTGAAACAGCACAGTGTAGAGCATGCTGATGCTCATCTGACACTGAAACAGCACAGTGTAGAGCATGCTGATGCTCATCTGACACTGAAACAGCACAGTGTAGAGCATGCTGATGCTCATCTGACACTGAAACAGCACAGTGTAGAGCATGCTGATGCTCATCTGACACTGAAACAGCACAGTGTAGAGCATGCTGATGCTCATCTGACACTGAAACAGCACAGTGTAGAGCATGCTGATGCTCATCTGACACTGAAACAGCACAGTGTAGAGCATGCTGATGCTCATCTGACACTGAAACAGCACAGTGTAGAGCATGCTGATGCTCATCTGACACTGAAACAGCACAGTGTAGAGCATGCTGATGCTCATCAGACACTGAAACAGCACAGTGTAGAGCATGCTGATGCTCATCTGACACTGAAACAGCACAGTGTAGAGCATGCTGATGCTCATCTGATAAAGGAAACAGCACAGTGTAGAGCATGTTGATGCTCATCAGACACTGAAACGGCACAGTGTAGAGCATGCTGATGCTCATCTGACACTGAAACGGCACTGTGTAGAGCATGGTGATGCTCATCAGACACTGAAACAGCACAGTGTAGAGCATGCTGATGCTCATCAGA